AGACTCCATCGCTACGAATGAATGAAACATGAAACCCCAAACCTGAACCCGGCCCCAAACCGCAAGCCCCAAACCTGAGTTCTCTACGCTCAGACCCGAAACCCGCAAACCCTGCAAAAACCTAAGCCGCAACAGTTTACACCCAACAATCAACTTTTACGAAACCTCACCCTAAGCTTTAGCTGTAAAGCCCAAAAACCACCTAAAACTTAAACCCTAAATCGCAAACCATTGAACGCCAAACCATGCCCTTACTTCCCAAACCCAAAACACCTTTCTGCATTTGCAGCGACTCAACCAGGACAGAAACCCAAAACACCTAAAACCCTAAACCGTAAACAATTGAATCCTAAACCGCAAACCCTGACACTTGGTGGCCCCAGCTGCAAACAAGTGAAAACCCATAAGCTCTGAAGCACGAAACGACAAGGCCCTAAACCTGAAACCCTACACTGCGAACCCAACCCCAAACCGCAAGCCCCAAACCCTAAAATTTACGTTCTCACTGTTTAAAGACGCTCACTCTAATCTTTAGCCGTAAAGCCGAAACAGCAACCCCCAAACCATGCCCTTTCATCCAAAGCCCTAAAAATCTTAAGCACTAAACCGTAAGCTCTTGAATCCTAAACCGTACCACCGCCGAATCTGACACCCACAAGCTGGAAACCAGTGACAAACCCGTAAACCCCAAATCGCGAAAAGAAAAAGCCTTGAACCTTAAACTCTACACCGTGAACCCAACCACAAGCGCCAAGCCCCAAACCCTAAACTTGGCCTAAACCTTACGCCCTCAACACTAAACCATTAAACCTGTCAGCCCTTGGTCGTAAACCTTACACCCGGAACCATGCACTCTTAAGCTCATTAAGCTCTACATACGAGTACACCGCAAACCGTCCCTTGAAATGCAAGACGCAAACCCAAACAAACAAAACACCTAAGCCGCCCAAGCCTTATTTAAGCCGCAAACCACGAAAGCCCGAACCATACGGAGTTGAATTCCAAACCTTTTGACCCTGAACCGTAAACAATTAAACCCTAAACCTCCAACCATCCTCAATCTGCAATCCCTCTAACCCTGAATCGCAAGCGAACATATCCCAAACGTGAAACCCTAAACCTGAACCCAGCCCCAAACCGAAAGCCCCAAACCCCTAAACTTTACGTGCTAGACCCGAACCCCTTAAACGCCTCAGTCCTAGACCGCAAAACTTTTACACTTAACGGGGTCCCTATAAAATTTGTGCGTCTGGTTTGCTGCGACCCAACCTAAAAACCCTAAACTAAACCGTAAACAATTGAATCCTAAACCACTGCAAACCCGTGCAAAACCCTCAAACCCTAAAGCACGAAACGACAAACCCCTGAACCTTAAATCCTACACCGTGAACCCAACCCCAAACCGCAAGTCCCAAACCCTGATCTTGCGCGCGAAAGCCTACATCCCTTACAGTAACCGTTCAACCCTAACGCGCGAACGGAACCCTAAACCACAAGCCAGCCACTTCGCATTACACCCGGAACCCTAGCTCCCGATACAACCTTTTGTGTTTTTCCAGTTTCCACTCGCAAACAGGGAGATGTCTGGGCCCTCTCAAGACGACCAAGCGGGTCACATGCGCATTCTGCCTAGAAAACCACCCTTTGTTTGGCGGCGGTGACTTCCCGTGCAAGCCATCGGATTTTTCTTGCGGAATTAGGGTATATTTCCTGGCTTCCAGCGCAACCCATCGAAGCAGCACACGTGCCGACACGCTGGCATCCATGTTTCATCGCATGTACGCACCATCCGCACCCTCTTCGCATCGCATCCGATGTCCATGTTCGCACGGCACCCGATGGGAGCATCATGCCTATGCCTGTACCAATGATGAGACAGAAAACTAGAAAGCACACATACACAAGAACACGGCCCTGATGCACCCTAGGCCCCTACACCCTTGAAGGCCCAAGCCACGAAACAACAACCCGTATAACCTTTCTACACCTGGCCCATCCTGGACCTATGCATAGGCCAGCAGGCAACAGAAGTTGATCAACGGTCATCCTAACGAACTAATGCGCAGAAGCTTGAACGCTTAAACTAAACTCAAAACTCCTAGACTGTAACATCGTCAAACCCAAAAGAAAACGCTCAAGCCTTAAACCCAAAATCCTCGGGCAAAACCGTTGGGGCCTTAAACCCTGAAGCCCTCAACAACCTCAACCCTTGAACAAGCAAACTCATAAATCCTAAGCCTATCAACCCTAAACCCCAGCCTGAGCCTTTTTTGCAAGGCAAATCCTGGTCTACGATCCCCAACTTACCGCGGAAATCCTGGGCAACCGACCCGAAGTCGAGACATCTCCTCAGAAGACACAGCAAGTGTCTTGGCTTCAAGTGTACTAATACAAGGGATTTGAAAAAATTAGAACAAGGCTTTGGCATATGTTGTTGCTTAACTATATAGGAACTGAAAGGGGATATTGTTGCGAAGTATTGAGGCTTCAAGTGTAAAGGGCCCTTTATCTGAAGCTCGGCCTTTCTTTGCCTGCTGGATTTGTGAGGCTTTCGTGTGATAAAGGGGCGCGTGTCTGTCCATAGGTGGATAAATAGCTATCCGGCCAGCTAGCTAGATTGGCAGATAGGTAGATAGGTACCGGACTTTCTGTCAACATGCGAGCATGTGCAAGTTATCATCTGTGTGCCAGCGTTCTTATTCAAGTAAACTGTCTTATTGAAATGGGATATCTTGCGGGAGCAGGGAGCCCGAAACCGGCCCCGCCGAGTGCCGCCTGGAGTCCCTTGGCTCGCATTTGGGTGACTGGCATTCCCCAGGGACTCTCGCAACTCCAGGCCCGGTGGAGCGCTAACTTCCTCAGGCTGCTTTTTGCGGTGGCACAACGTGAGGGTTTAGGGTTTAGGGTTTAGGGTTTAGGGATGATCCGAAGAGGTCGTAGAAAGTCGTAGAACATGTATGGCGGCGACAAGTCTTGCATTCAGGATGCGATGCTGTCTCCAAGTTGGAGGGAATCCGGCAATGTGATGGTAATTTCAACTCCGAAAACTTTCGCACTGGCTCCGTACTCCAACGCACCTCGCTGGCAGCAAGGGGCACGAAGCAGGCTTGGCTGCCACGAGTCATTGCCAAACTAGCGTTCCGAGATGCTGTTGTTCACATGAAATGCCAGCGCAGGCTTCAATATCGGGATGCTTTGCAGGAAGGTCCTGTCCAATGCAATGCGCTGACCCGTCGCGATGAAACCTTCAAGCAGGGGATGCCGCCATACGGCATGAAAAAGGCAGGACCCACAGCTGCAGCGAGGACAACTACATAGCTCCCCGTCTTTCCCTATTTTCTGGCTTGTGCCGTCTCAGGAGATCCGGACATTGTGGGCCAACTACGCGGTGTCTGCGGAACGGACTCATCTATAGACTCGACACCGATGACCGTGTTCGGGTTATGGGGTTTCGGCCCCGTTTACAGAATTCGCAAGAAGGCCCAGTCAGGGCAGGACAGGAGAACTGCGTGGAGGCTAGCACTTTCAGTTTTGAAGGCTGCAGTTTGACAGTTGATCGAGAGAGCGGTCTGAGGACTAGGCTAGACTAGTCGTAGTCGGTCACTGCGACCGGGCGATAGTCTAGGCTTCCCAAGAAATAAGACATGCAAGAGCAAGCAGGAGGTGGAAGAGGAGGAAGTACGATTGAAGTGCAGTCCAAGTCCAAGGTTGTCCTGTAAGGACAGATCGCGCCCCCCTTGAAACAACTGGATTATGGACAGGTGCAGGCGAGCAGCGCTTGTATGTTTCAAGGCGCCACTGAGCAGAGATCGGCCATGTTGGGACAGATGGATTTCGAACCCGGCCCTCCAAAGTGTACGCCACCCCCTGCAAGGTCAAGGTAGCCAACTTCCAAACGGTGGAATTAAAATGCTCTGCACACATGCAGAAAAGTGCAAGTTGCGCCTCAACTATTGCCTTGCGCCCAGTGAGAAGGAAGATCATGGACACCGGGGCATCTCCGCCCCCCTCTGTCGATGGCACACCAGTTTCATCCCCGACACGGCAGATTGCATCTGCGGCAGAGTATAGGGCATCGAGATCCCATGGTTCTCGGCCCCTCCTCTCCAGAGTCGGATTTGCCTCAAGTGCAGCATCTGCGACACAAGCTCGTGGAACAACTCAACATCCCAACCTGGCCGACAGAATGAAAGAGCCGAATTGCGCAGACGTCAAAGTCGAGCTTGGCAAACTCATAGCCGGCAGAAACGAAGATCATGATTCCCCCGTCCTCGAAACTTCAATACAACTCCAGGATTGCGGCATTCGTGCAGGCAAGCCGACCTCTGCATCTGGCAACAAAGGGTCACTGCCACTTTGCAACCTGGAGCAGCATCGCAGCAACAGCGTCAACACGTGTCAGCTGGACAGAAGACTTGAGACTTCAAGGCACTGTCGGCCTGCGTTGCCGCATTCTGGGAGCCGGAACCGTGGAGTATGGCATGAAGTCCTTGGGCATGCGCAGACGACGGCTTGACTCTGGTATGAACCCCTGTCAGTTGAAGGAAGCGTCGATCCGAAACGGCAGATACTGGTCCAGCACAGCCCACCAGGTATGAGAAGCAACTCCTGTGGCCAGCTCCAACCGGCTCTCCGTCGGCCGAAGCGTCCTCGACAAACCCAAAAACATCTAAGAAGAACTGAAAGAGCCTCAGAAGACACTGATGTACTGCGGTTTTACCACCACCGCGATCAGCACATTGGCGAGCGGCCGTATCTGGATCGACTCGAAAGGCCTGGATGCCTCGACGCCGAAGTCCAGAGCCCAGACGTTGTCTGCTGCTGGAGTTGGCGGCAGTTCCTCAAAGCAAAGACGAGAAAGAAGAAAGCCCCAACTCCAAAGGATAGCATCTTCTGGTCGTAGAACGAGGCACCGGATTGCGAACTTGGATCTCAAAGCCATAGCATGCTCCGTCTGTGAAGCTGGAGATTGTGCTGTCTTCTGGCATTACTGTGGCGAGATACAAGCCTCGGCCACACAAACACGTCAGAGAACGAAGCATCACAATGCATCACATCAGCTTCCAGACCAGCCAAGCTGCCGTTCGGAACCGAGATGCGAGCTGTGTGATGAAGTCCCAGGCATGCCATGGGCTCCAGCTGACTCGGCCACGATGCGAGTCGTCTTGGGCACCAAGGCTGCGAAGCGAAGCTCGACCGGCAAGGGAACCTGCGACGATGCACACAATGCAGCTTGCATTTCGGTGCTGCAGGTCGCAGACTGCCTGGTTTGGTCAGTCTCCGAAAGGCTTCGCAGCCCTCCGGAGCAGTCCTGCACATGTGCACTTTGCCATCATCGAACACTTCGCTCACTGGGTCACAGAGTGCAAGCGAACGTCCTCCAGAAACTCAAAGCCTGCAGGCCCACGCAGCGCCAAAGGGAAGTGCTCCATGCTTCTGGGGTACACTGGCGCCTTGTCGATGCCTCAGGGACGAAAGTGCTTCCGGAGCGATGGTCTCTGCCGTCCTAGTGCTAGTGATACTCGCACGCCGCTTTTTGAGTTGGATATGGAGAGGCTCTGCGACCCAAGCCTTAGCACGAAAATCTTGAAAGACCAAGCAGGGGAAACAGTGGAGGGAAACGAGATGCTCTGGTCATGCCTGTCAGCATGCGTTTCCTTGGAGTCGTGTTCCAGTTCTTTGTTTTACCTGCCTCTCGACCTTGATGCGCTTGCCATGGTTGGGGGGACAAGGGCGGTGGTTCCGGTGGTCCCGTGTCAAGCCAACGACAGACCTGAGCCTCGCAGCAAAGCAGCAAAAATCTATCTCTGAATTGATCTCATGGTGCAGAAATAGAAGGTGAGGGTGTTCACGCTCAACGGCTGGTCATTGCGCCCGAAAGACGGAGCTTCGTAGTCGGGAGGCTCAAGAAGCCCGGCCTGTACCACGAAAGTTTCGACTCTCGCACTCCCACCAGGCATTGCGCTCAATACTCTTACTACACCCAGGGTCCTGACATTGTCAACAGCCCGCACTACAAGGGAACCGCCAGGAGCAAGCTTCGGAGCTTGCACGGCACAATCCCAACGCTAGAATTATAACAATCACCAATGCTAAAACCTCAACCTCATATGCACATAGATATACCCCCAGTGACATGCAGCTCCCCTCACTATGGTAAAACAACGATGAACTCAACTACACAACTGCCCGACAAGTCCATCCTACACAGCCCCACAGTTACAAGTATCCAGCGTCACTCACAGCCAACAAGAACCAATACCCGAACGTATCAAGACCCCGTCAACACTGTCACCAACTACGCGCCAATCATAGATCCCGACCTATGCTACCGCACAACACTCAGTGCAACTCGGCGCGGAAGTACCAGTAGCTCTGATCTTTATGCCAGATGAGGTTTGAGTGTTCGCAGTCTGCTGTAGAGCTGCAGGGCTGGGGTCTAGAGATGTCTAGAGTTTCGTCGTTTTGGTTTCGGGCTTCGGCGCTTCTTGCCTGGAGCCCGTGAACGCTTCAGGGCATTTCAGATTCCATGCAAACGAGGCCTCGCCCAAGAATCCCAAGATTCGCGGGCTGGGCGTGTCAATTCCAAAATCCAAGATCTGGTGCGTCGGGTACATGTCCAAGGCACCTAGCAATCACTCGGTAAAATCCTTTTCCCCTTTTACTCATCGCCAGGCGAGCCACTGAAGGTTCCCAGATTCCAGTGCGCCATGCTCGCTGCAGGATGTGTAGGATTGCGTGAGCGCCTGCCGGCAATTAATCTGCATGGATCTCGTGCTGTAGCATGCCGGACAGCGGTCAGAAACGGATGACATAATGTGCATCTTGCATCGGCCTGAACCGGAAACCGTAGAACCCTGCTGGAAGCTGCCCTTCTTTCAGCCAGAGCTTGATCATTGGCAGTAGAGTGGTCTCATGCTGGAAGACCAAGCCTCGCCACTTCTTGCCACTTCATGCAAAAAACGAAACAATCTCTATGGCTTCAGATCTATACCATGTAATATATATATATATATATATTCAAATCATCATCATCATCATACAAATATATACATATAGATGTGCACACATATTTTTTCATGCATCTATTTACTTAGTTAGCTATATATTTACTTTACTTGTTTGCTTGAGTACGTACAAATGTGCTCGTTATGTTATGCATTATTTTGTGTATTCATTTGTTCATGCATTCCTTTCTTCGTTTAGTCATTAGTTCATCTATTTAAATATTTGCTTATTCGTTCGTTTACTCATTTGTTCATGTGTACTTGGTTCGTACTTATGTATCGTCATACAAATGTGTGTAGATATATATATATATATGTACATATGCATAAATGTGTATATACATATACATATATATATATATATACACATGCGTAAGTATGTATGTACCTATGCACCTACATAATTGTATACATACAAACATACATATGTGAATATGTACGTACCTTCATACAGACTTAGTTGCTTACCTACACTACCTACATATACATATATATATATATATTTATATTTATTTATTTATTTATTTGTTTATTTCGTGTTATAACAGCTCTCAGTAAACGGGAATAGATAGATCGATGGACGAATAGATACACAAATGGAGCACTTAACTTTCGCCCGATGATGGCCAGCCAAAGCCAAGCAGCAGTGCCCGTTTTCGGGTGTAATACCGAGCATCCCTGGCAAGACCTCTGGCCAGCAACGAAGCAGAGTGCCACGAGTGAGTTCATCACCGGCTAGAAGGATGCCATCGCTCTCCTTCACAAGCTCAGGGGACACACATTGTCGCACATTTCAAAAGCTTGCTAAGTCTGATAGAAAAACGCAGAGTGGATTTTGAGCGAAGGTAATGCTGCAGCCCTGCGTCTGCAAGTGGAGAAGCAATCCGGAGGCTGAAGTCAAGGACATTATCCGCAAAGCCCGCCATGTTGCACAACGATGCGACGCTCACGTCGTTGACCACTCGGAGCGGCGGTGCCGAGAAGGCTGCTGCTTGCATTCGGTCCAGGTTGAATTCTGCGGGGTTGTATCCCAACCTTTGGCATTTAAAAAAAACTTACCAGCGCACATGACAAACACGGAGGAAGGGAGGCCAAGGTAGCCAAGGTGCTCCAAGAAGAAGGCATTCGTGGAGCGAGTGGGTGGTCGGGTAGGAACTCGAAGGCGAACCACGAAGCCGAAGTTCTGGTTTAGGCGCATGATCAATTCCGGCAAAAGGAGCTCGTTCTCGTACCTGACCTCCGGTGTCACGAAGAGCTCGCAAAAGCGGCAGGTCACGTTGGGAACGTAGCCCAGCCAACCTTGCTCAGCATGCGGGATCCAGACATAACCCACAGGAGCCAGAACGCGTACATGCAGAGGCTGCCCATCTGAGGAAGGTGTCAGAGGGTACACCGTCAGGAAGGCGCTCATTTCGAAAGCAACGGTGGGCAGAAGTCCTTGCAATGCAACTTCAGACACGCAGAACTTCCCGAATTCTCAACACCAAGTGCCAAGATACCCTGTGTGCATGTTGCCTCCCTGAAGTGAGTAGATCACTTGATAGAAACCTAGGACCTTGGACTCGCATGAATATCATGGAGTGACATAGAAATCGCCCCCACATCCAACCAGCAGAAATGCAGATCCATGAGGTTTTCGCATAGCTTTGCCCTGCTGTTTTGCGCATCAAGGGTCGCGGAGCTCCGAAATTCAAAGCTAGAGGGAGCTTCATGTCGGAATCGTAAACTGCCCAGCCAAGATCGTGAGGCAACACAGGTATCGTGTCAATGCGGGCCGCATTGAACTGGACCGGATACCTGAACTAGAGTAACGAGTGCATTGCACCTCGCCTGCACCTGGCTTCGCAACCTGCTGTTGCCTGGCTATCACGGAAACACATCAAAAAAATGATAAAAATAGAGGGAAAGCTGCGTTGAGCCATCAACCATGTAGCCTGCTGGACTCTGCAGCCAGAGTCGCCATTGCGAGTGTTGACTGATGTTCCACTCCACTGCATTAGTGATATTGATCTGGAACGCATAATACTTTCCTGAGGCACACGCACTGCACCGACCAAACAAAAGGCCGTTCTGTTCTCAGCAAAGTCTCCGAGCAACAGAGTTCGTCCAATGCGGAGGTATGCGCGCGTGAACGGAGCAGTGGCAACAGGAGTTCCTGCGGGCCTCTGCCAATCGTCCTCGGGTGCGATGTTAGAGAACACTCGTATCTTCTGCTAGAATAAGCTCATGACCGGGTCCAAAAGGCTGTCGTGCAGTTCACATCCTGGCCAATAGAGCTTGTCATCGCACGAGGTCCAGTGATCTCGGTACCCCAAGGCAGCGCTTCCCAGTCCTCAACGAGTGCAAAGAAGAACTCACAACTTGCGTTTCAACTATGGCTGTCCTGCCTATCTATGTTACCGTCCTGGTAGTAAGCAGGATCCAGATCTCCCGCAGCGCATGTCGTGGTGAAGTCGTATCCAGGCGGTGCATCAATCACCAAGTACGAATAAATCGGCATAGCTTGTGTCATCTGCAGAAACACATTGAGCGTATTATTGGCGCCTTCAGCCAAGATTGTTGGCTGTATAGACTCCCCTTCAAGCCTTCCAAGGACGGCAAGGTTACCAGCCCACCCAGGGAGCGACTTCTCATCTTCCAGCGAAATAAAAGGTGCGGGGCCGCCAAGCGTGTCGCCATAGGGTGAAATGAGAAGGATGCTCCAAACATTTAGAGGGTCATCTTTACGCAAGGGTAACCGAGGATTGACAACTGAAACGCGTACATCGACAAACTGGTTCCTTGGCTGAGCGACATCCCAACTGTCACTCTCCCAAACCACAGACAACTCCGACTGATATGAGCAAGTCGCGCGAAGAGCGCTGCCGTGCTTTCCAGCGTGAATGTGCAAACAGACTCGCGCGACCTTGTCAGTGACGAATTTTCCGGCCAACTACGTTTGCAGCTACAGGCTCATGGTTAAAGCAACAAAGACTTTCTTGCAACAGAGTAAGGCCTTCCAACAACACATCGACGTTTCTGGAAGAGCTGACAAATAAGGTGGATAAATATGGAAAAGTCAGAACCATGCGGAACCCAGTGTTGTGGAAATGAAAATGGGATCGCCTCACCGGCAAAGGATTGGGCCAAACATGATGTCCACCGGGGACGTGTGTCTTGATGTCAGCAACCACTTTAATCTGTCGCCTTGCAGGAGAGCGTCCCTGCTGACGACCCGATGGGAAACTTGTACAAGTAGCAGGTGCAGCAGAATGAAGGAGGTGGGAGCACTGACACAAGAGAGCATGAAAGTCCAATCCGTCCATGAATGTCTATGACATGAGACAGACGGAGAAGGCTCAACAGAGTGTCCTGCTCAACCGACTGGCGGAACTGATAAAGAAGATAGGCTTCGGATGGCCATCATCAGACTCTGGGCGAAGCTTCACACTTGTGACACCTTTGCGGTAAATGAGCCTGTTGCATGGCTGTTCCTGAGTTTGCAAGACCGAAGCCTCCTTTGAAACCACGGGCAAATTGGTGCAACAAGCCAAATTTCAACGCTTACCGGCTACAGGGCTTGGACCTGCAGAACATGCGGCTGAGAAAATGAGCCCCGCATTTCGAGAGCCATTCCACGGAGGCTTTGTGTAGCGGCTCTACAGGTAGCTGTTTTCTGATTTGTAGGCAGAAGCTTCTGGCACACTGTCAGGCTTGAGATGGCCCATCGACTCCCGCGAGGTCATCTGCACAAGTAAGGCCGCAGCGACCACGTCCCACTGCCCACAGTAGCCATAGGATTGTCCGCGTAGCCATCATTGTTCAGGTCTTGCCTCCAACACTTCGACTGAAAACCGAGATCTGACGACTCTCTCCTTCGATGCTGTCAACTTTGCGGGCAAGAGGCGTGAAGAAGCCCTTACTGCCATCTGGATCCGCTGTCCCATCGCCGACCACACTGCACATGTAGTCAGGCGGCAGCTGGACTCGTATTTCGGCTGGCACAAGAACTTCGGTTTCATTCCTTGCCATGCTCGACACTAGCCTATCATGCTATGCCTTTTTCCCCGGACTGTTTTGGAAAAAAGAGCAGGACCAAGTCTCTCTCCCAGGATCACATTACCGCTGGGTAGATTCCGCAGGGAGGCGCCAAGGATGAGGCGGAGCACCAGCTCGTTGTCCCGATCGAAGGCAAAGGGCTTGGGCCCATTGCCAGCCTGCCCTTCGACCTGAACAGGATTTACGAAACTCGTGTGCTCCTCATGCACAATCAAAAACATATCTAACTGACTACATTTATGCGTATTGGGCAGGCAAACCGTTAGCATTGGTTCTGCTGCTTGTCTTGACTATGACAGGATTTGTGGTCGCAGGCCACGCGGCCTTGGACTTGAAAGGAGATTTCCTTTTCTTGGTGATGCACATGACTCTTAGAAGCTGGAAGCTGCTGCATACATCATACATCCCATCAACCTGTGGGCGAGGCATGTGCAACAGCCTGTGGTCGGGTGCGATAACTTCGAGTTTAAGAGACTCTAAGTCTAAGACTGTTATCGATACAACCGCAACTCACTCTCACTGTCATGGTACCGAGGCCATCGAGAACTTGAGATCACGAAAACCAAAGCCGCGACAGCGTGCGGGGTGCGAGCCACACTGCAGGGACTGAGACTGGGCAGTACGCCGCATCAGTACGGGCGAAGTTCTTATCGAGCATTTTGCCACTCCGAACAGCCAGATAGGATTGCGCTTTGGGACTAGATTCTTGTAAGGCTGTGCTGTTCGCCAGCATCAGTGGGCCCACAGGTCTGAATTCACATCCGAGGTGCCAAAATTCGTCCGGATGTCGCTGTGGATGTTGGCACTTTTTTGGCGCAGGGCATGGCTTCCACCATACTCGGTGGCCTGCAGTCAATCAAGAGTGATCTGACCGAGCTGAATGAACCGCAGGCGTCTTTCGATTCGACCATCTGTTGCGAGGCACACATCTGGCAGCTCGTAATACTGCACGAGCATACAGATCGTGAAGAAACCTTCGTTGGGAAGCCGCAGGCCACGGAAGGCGAGCAAGTGGGCCTCAGGAAGGAGAAAGAGGAGACCTCCTGAGCTCGGCACAAACGCAAAGCTCTCAGAGAAACGCCTCATCAGATCGATCTTCGGGAATCTCGTCAAATGCATTCGGGAAGGAAAATTCCATGACGTTCAGCTGCAGCGGGACGTCACTCCTCTCAGCCGGAAACAGTTGAAGGCAACCATGCAACGTGTGCTACGCTAAAGCGGGTCAGTCTATTGCCATGCTTAGTTGAAGTTCATTGACTTCATGTTTCTGGGCCTCAGCGTAAGGCACAGCCCTACGCGCGTGGAGGCTTGATGCTTAGGCTTAGAAGCGCCCGACAGCTGCACATCTCTTCCAGCTCGAAACACAGGAACAGCAACAACAACTGCCCACTGTGCTTTCCGAACCCCCCGGTCACTGCGCTCGTGTCCACCAAGGCTTTCACTTCACAGGGCGCCACGGGAAGTCCGCGCTGATCCAAACAGCTCAAGCCAGGAGCGGCGACGCACGTGGCGTTGCAATCGCTCGGGAACTCTGCCAGCCTACACCGGCACAGGGTTCAGCCCTAGATTCTTACTAGTCTTACCCCTTCCTGGTGGTCATCATGCTCCTAGTTTCCAACCTGCATAGCGCATCACTTATGCCATCCCGGGCCTCCACAGTGTCAGCGGCTGAAACATCAGCCGAAAGCGAGCACTTGACTGGAGCGGGAACTCCGGTTCCATCGGCCAAGCACGCAAGCCCAGGGACAAGGTTGATATCTCCAATCCCGAGAGTTCATCCATAATTGTGTCGGAGGCCTACGGTGCAAGCCACACACACATGCACCCAACACGTCCCCGGGTAGACCTGCCAATGCCACACCTTCATCTGCAGCGCATTCTCCCAAATATCATATTGCATGTCCTTGGCACAGAAGAGCTCACGAAAGACATGATGTGTCCGTCTCGTAACGATTTTCCCAGGAGCGTTTGGAATCTCTGACCCGAGACGCTTACGAAAGCCGCGTGGCTGGACGGAGGCCTCTGGCCGTCAGACGACTCGCTTCCTGGAGGTCCAGGAGCTCCACGCGGCCCAGCTTGGTAGTGTTGATCTCCGGTAGCCAAACCCCGTTCTTTGGGATGACCTGTTAGGGCCTGTTAGGGTTTAGGGGATTGGGAACTAGTCCGTCACAGTTGGAGCATGAAGGAGAGGAGGGGAAACCGGTCAACCACACTTGCTGCGAAACGGGTGCCTGCCCATACTCGATCACACTGTACCGTGGCCCACAGATGGTTGCATACCCCGCTCTGCCAGCGCAGTATGTGTAGAGGCTGATCAGCTCCCGTCTAGTTATAAACTCATCATGCTGAATCCTCATGTTCAAGACCAGCTGATATACGCAGCTGGACTGACGGTTTGTACCAACACATTCCTCCTTCAAGGCGTGCTTCGGATCAAACTCGATGAAGTATTCCCGATACGAAGCTTCGGCTTGTCCACCAAATTGCGGTGCATCTGTGTAGAGTGGGCCATAATAGCATCCTCGTGGCAGTGGGAAGCCAGCAGCATCGTTCGTCCACATTTCAAGAAACAAGCTTCCACAAACAGCCTGACTCATGCTTTCAGCCGAGACTGTCTCATTGTCTTCCATCTCGACACCCGCAAACCCGGTTCGGCTAGTTTTCAACGGCACAGCCACTCGAGGGATCTCTCTTAAAAGGATTCTGAGGACGATGGCGGTGTCGCGCAAGTAGTCTTGCTTGCCCCGGGTAGGTGAGAACGAGATAACTACGGGAGCCTCCGTCCCGCTCACCCAGCTCGTGAAGTAAACACCCGCATCTGCCATGGTAGCCGGAGTGATGAATGTCAAAACACCCGCGTCGCTGTAGTATTCCTGGCAGCACGACCAAAGTGAAATCACAGGCGGACCCTGATTCGTGCCTGTGCTCCCCTTTAGAATCAGCAAACGCTCTCGTGAGCGCATGCCAACTCATCCAACACAGGGAGATGTCCAAGATTCCTCCCGTCCCGCTCATGGACCAAGCAGTGTCGGGGATCCTATGGGCGTGAATTCATATGTAGATATACACATACACATGTGTTGTATGTACATACACAAACAGTTTCTTGGCTATAGTGATCCACAGCAGCATTAGGAATGCGGCAGAACGGGGGGGTCTACCAAGAAAGCTTGGTCCATGAGAGTCTGCCGCTGTGCTGCCATGGCTCCTGCGAGCCACCATCATTGGCTGCCCAGCAGATTCTCAAGGTCGCGGTCGCCTCGGCTTTGATCTCTTGATTTGTCTGCAGCCGGTTTCGTCGATGCCAACCACCTGCAGGGAATGCCCAAGGCTGCATGTATGGAAGGCACCTGACTCAGAGACACACACACCCACACAGTTCCAACAGTAACCTTCCTGCCTTTGGCGTCCACAAATGTGAAAACGGGTGCGTCTACTCCGTCTGCCCATCCTACTGGAATGCTGAGCTTATTGGTCTCGTAAACCTGGCCAGATCCAGCAGCAGCATCCACGAAAGAAATGCGGTTCCACAACATCCGGATTTTGTCGGGCTCATCCGCAAAATTGTAAAACCCTGAAAGCTTGGAAACCAGGTACCGTTCAGTCTCGGTCCAAAAACTTTGCCCACGGCCATTTAGAAGGATTGTGGCTTCATCCAGCGTGATGGCATCGCCATCCAATAACTCCGAGGTCACGTCGCCGCTAAACACTAAAATTGTCTTGAACTCTTCCATGACAACGCTTTCAATGTACACACCTGTCGTGTCTGACGATATGAGCGACACGGGGATGTCTTCATCTCCGCGCGGAAAGCGACACGACTCCCCATCAATTCCCGGGCAACGTAGCCGATATGTGTCAAGAACGCCTCGGGAACACGGAGAGATTCTGCCTACTCTGCATGCTGCAATTTTTCACGCATCCTGGAGCTCTCTCCGGCCTCCGGGGTTGTTGCCGTTCTCCGAACAAGTCTGTGTCATGGTGATGAGCCGGAGTGAGTCCTGAACCAGTCCAACGCCTCTGTTATGGCGGAGCGCCGAGCGTTACGCAGTCCTGTGTGGTGAAGCCCCAGCCATCCAAGTCAATCCGCACTAAAGTCTTGGTGGGGAGCTGCCTGCGCTGCAACGACACAATCATGAGTTCCACTCCGCTGATCGAAGGCCAAAGGGGGCTTTGCAGGCAGGTTGCACGAGCTGGCCAGAACGCGTGCCCTTCACCCTGCAAGTTTTACGAGTGAAATGCCAATGCCGCGTGGTGGGCTGTGCTGGGACACACAATTACGCGAGCGCTCAGAACACTGCAACTCCAGACATGTATCAGAACAAGCTGGCTGCCAGACGACATGATCATGGCGGCTAAGATGTAGTCATTCGACTCAGCGCAGTTGTCGTCAGCATCCAAGAATGAGCCTCAGGCGACCACCCACTCGCCCCTGCCGTCAAGATCCTAGGCTTGTTCGACATCCGGTTTCGATTTTATCATTGCGGTCGTCGTCCACATATACGCGTCCCATGTTCACCCCTGCTCCAGCTGGGTGTGCGGTGCGAGTCCCCCCCGGCTCGTCACTGCTTCTCCCATAGGCCCCAAAGCGGCACAAAGTCTGCACCCCGACATCTCGCCGACTTCTAGCCGAAGACGTGCTAGTTCATGTACAAGCTAAGATGCAAAACGGAACTAGGTCTCTCCCAATGTATCTCGTGTCCGTTCTGTCTCAAAGGTGCTGGAACCTACCCCCAAAACCCCGGCTGTGGCAATTATCGTAGACAGAAGTGGTGTTCAAATCTATGCTGTGTACATGTGGCTTACATGTCGCAGAATCTGAGCGAAGCCGCCCTCAAAGTAGCTTGGCCTGGTTGGGTTCACCTCTGGGGTTGAGGGGAAGGGCACCGGGAGACACGGCCAATCAACAACACGCACCCGAAGACCAGGGAAGATAAGAGTGACAACAGCAAGGATAGCGCGGCATGTAGCAGAAACACTTCATGTTAAGAAAAACAAAGGCCGCCTTGCATGCAAGCAACAATAACAGACTGCATACATGCCAGCTTCATAGAAGAAGAAGGTCTGGTCGTTTTCGATACCTCAGGGCTCCGACCTCTATAAGCATAGCTGCACCTATGCACAACCACAGGTCGCACACGCGCCTGTGAAGGGCAAGTACTGGGAGGCATCCGGACCGACCCAAGCCATGAACTGCTTCGAGTTTTCTTCGGTACTGGGGCCGTTGATCGCGGCTTCGTCTGTGGAATTGTAAGCGCAGGAATCCTTTCCACGGAAAGCTCGTGGAGAGACAAAGTCCCGACTGGCTTCGGCTTGCTGCAATCTGCCAAATCTCTCTTCACATAAACTCACGAAAGATTTCACCAGCATTGCGCAGCTGAGCGACATCCATTCCCCGTCGCCCCCTTGCGGTATACTCCCGGTGTAGATTCCAAAGTTGCTCTAGTGTGACTGCAGTACCTAGGGGAAGAAAAGGCGACTTCAACAATGCTGCATCTGCAAAACATCAAAGGTAGACTGGGTGACATATACAGGCCACAAGCCTAAGCAAAGTCGCCGTCAGGACCCGGGTAGTTCGCGGTATTGTCGTAGGAAAGGATTTTCATCGTAGTCTTCCGTCGCCAGGACAGGCTGTCGTAAGGATGTGTGCCTCATTGGCACGTCGGACACTTCTGCTAGCTCACGCTAAGATGGGCACGACCTCCAGTTTGCTTGTTTTCGGACGCTGCTGCTGGGCAACGCAGCCGGAACCCGCCAGAGATGTTGCCCTGCTTGTTTGCAAAGGACGAGCCCACCCTCTCAGCAGGCCGAGAAGCTATCAATTCTCGCGTTTCGCAGTGTCATCCACGCTGTTCCAGATGAATTCTGGATTGGTTTGTTGATGATGCAGGGCGAGGGGCTGCAGAATCCGAAGTTACCCCGCAAGAGGAATGAACATCTTCTGGGTTCGCGGTGTGTTGCAGCTACTTGTCGGTGTGTGTGCCCAAGCTTTTTGCTGCACTTTCTGGGGCTATCGTGAATGTTCCTCTGCTATCTCCGGGAGTGCGACTGTGGTCGGCTTCTTGCAGTCGCTGCTCAGCCCACGGCCTTCCGAAATGTTGGAGCGAATCCCGCCAAACAGCCTTGCAGCTTGCAGAAACAGATATTGAGATTAGAAGGACAGTGACAATGACAATGCCTGGCATGGACGTCCCACATCAAGGGATCCCAACAAGCGCAAGTGATGAAGTGCTGCAAAGCTGCGTGATGCCACCAGGCTTAGCAACGTACTCCACTGTCTGAATCGGCTGGATCAACTGAAACTCGTCGAATGGCTTTGACCACCTCTCAGGCAAAAATGTCTCACCGATGGTGCTTGCATCGTTCCTCGTCCGCAGGCTGCCTTGCAATGCCGGCAGTGTCCGCAAATCGGATTCTGCCCACTTCGAAGTAATTGTAGAAGTTCCAACCTGCACAGTTGTCGTGTGTACGTATGTCTTTTGTTTTTACTTCAGCAGTCGCTGCTGCTGCTGCTGCTGCTGCTGCTGCTGCTGCTGCAGCTGCTGCTGCTACTGCTGCTAAGCGTCATTCTGAGTCGCAATAGCACACCTGCACTTGCTCGCTCATTGGCAGTCTTCCTCAGATGTCCGCTCGAACAAAAGCTTCAGTGGGCAGCTCGTCCTGTAAGGTGAGTTAAGCAGCCCAAAAGGTAAGGGTCGTCCCAGAACTTGTAGTCACGCCGGTCACCTGGGGGCCCAAGTTCACAGATATTGGCTTCGGAAACACTGAGTCTGCCTCCAAAGCGATACGTTGCAGGATCGACTGGAATCCCATCATCATCGAACTTGGGAGGGTAGAAAAGCATCTGCTCGCTTACCTTGCTGCAGTCTGATGACGGTAACTGCGGTGCAAGGAATGGCGAGATGACAAGTTGCCGAAGCGACTTTCTATGCCGGGACACTGCCGCCCCTGCACGGCAGCGCGAATTCGGGTCCCAAACCGGCAAGTTGGTAATGGCTTCTCCAATTGCGCAGACTGGACAAGTGCCAGGTATAAACTTGATCTGGTTCCTCATACGACACGTCTGCAAGCCCCCATGCGATCGAGTTCAATGGAGTGTTCAAGCTGTCAATCTGTCGAGACAGGGCAGACAAGGCACTGAGAGCTTCCCGAACAAGAGCTGCCACCCGGAGGGCACTGCAAACGCAGAGCGAAGGGCTGCTGCGGCAGTACTCTCATAAAGGGCTCATTGACAACACCACATCCTGCCGTTCCACCCACGTCACCTCGATATGTGGCCGAGCCGTCGTGTAGTTTCGCTCTAAGGATCCGGCCCTCACACGCCGGGTTCCCAAATTTGCCCGACCGTGACATACGGTCACTAGGGGGTGGGAAGAGATTTTGGCGGAGCCTGGCTCTCCTGGCACAGGTGTCCTAAGCCAAGTGGCAAACTCGCAAGAGCCAGTAATAGAGCACGCCGATGGGTTGGATGAATTCGCTGGCCTCAAGACTGATTCAAAGGAGATCATGCACCACGACTGGTTGTGTAAAGAATGTATATGAAGAAGCCAGGCGGCATGGTCGCACGGGTCGTTCGTAGGATCCACCGGGCCGTCGTAGCTGGGGCAATAGCATACAGACATCGTGAGGCTGTCCACTGCACTTTGCCGGCGGAGAGGTGGCATCTCCAGCGGAGTAAACGCATCGGTAATGAAGCCCATCCCCGTGGGGGGAGCCCATGCAAAGTCTGCAAAAACGGCAGTTTCTGGTGCGATGTACTCCGCAGTCACCACATCAGAGCAGCGAATCCGGGGGGCTGGGATATATTCCCCAAAGAGAAACGTATCCCGATCCCAGGCTGCGGTCCAAGCAGACTTGCTGGCAGTTCCTGCTTCAACTGTCCAGCCCTCCCGGCCACCCCCAAAAGCACGGAAGTCGATCAGGCAGTTGCTGGTATACTCCCCAAAGTAAGAAACATAGCAATCCCAACGTTCTTCGGCAAGACAACCATTTCCCAAACAAGGCGATGCGACTCCTATCACCCGAATGTCCACTGGCACGATTGCATTCAAAAACTCATTGCCCGTCATACTGCCGTCGGGGCTGTAGCAGACCTTGTAGTACCCACCATTCATGAAGGTGGTATGTGGAAAAATCGTCGATGCTCCCAAGACCGTGTTATCGGCTGTTTGCGAACTCAACCGCAAAAGCCTGAGCAGCACCATCAGAATTTAAAAATTGCTGCGAAATGCAAGGAGACTACCTTACAAACCACCTGGCCACTCTGACTCTATGCAACATCAACGTTGAGCTTCCTGCGTCCCTTCAGCCAGAGCAGAAGCTCCATAAGTAGGCAATACCCTTGGCACGAGGCTGCGTGACATTGAGAAGAAGCAAAACGATTGCCATCAGCCTAGTTTTGGACATTCTGACACGGAAAAACTCCACAGGCCATCGGAGTCGCGTCGAATTTCGCACAAGGGCCATAGGGACATTGTAGGGCTGCCTGGAAATGGAGAGCTAGCCAAATACGCAAACCACAAGCTGGTACCCTGCGATCCCACGCCTGGAACAGGATTCACGCTCCTGGATACTGGCATCCACGAGCTTTAGCACCGCCTGCTCTCAGACTCTTGGCATGACTGCAATGACATCACATCAGCAAGTTTCAGTAGGGACCATCCGGAACAAGCTTAAGGGATAGAGCACTTCCCGCCACAACAGAGACTGCCTCGATATGATCGATGCCAAATTCAAACTCCAGCGGCACGCTGACTGACACCATACTGTACCTTGAGACAATACGCAAACGCAGCATGCTGAGGTTGTGCTGGCAGCTGGCAGTTTTGAATCTGGGGCACCTATAACCAGCCAACAAGACCAAAAATGAAGAAGCTGCTCCGCTGCCAAAAACGAAATCCTGCCAACGGGAGATGCTTCAGGCTTCAGCATGATCAGCCCTGTGTCGAGTGCAAGAAGCCCATGAGCCTGCAGTGGGCTTTGGAAGGCCAGACGTGTTCCAGTGGGAAACTCCCAGTCCTAAGGTGCCACATACCAAGCATCAAGAAAGCCGAGTTACTGGAAGGAGTCCGATACCGCCCTGACTTGACCAAGGCTCTTCCTGCGGAATGATCGACTCCTGTTCGTCTTGGAGACGCCGCATGGCCTGGCAGGCCGCCCACAGCACTGGCCCTGCCCGTTGTAGAAAGTGGGCGGCAAGGATCGCAGCGACACGATTGTGGTGTGCTGCGCAGGAGGCACTCACAGCAGCGTCGACGTTTGTGATGGCACCTGCACCTTCGCTGCATCATGAAGATGCTCCAATTCCCTGCACGAGGCAGTGTGGGGCACGAAATCATGGAATGAGACTGGGTCGTCCCGGCCTCCATCTTGACGGCTGTTGGGTGCCAGTGGCCTTGCCGGCATGATGGCCCACACGGCCACGAAGCACTTTCTGTATTTATCTGCTCTACTTCCAGAGCTTTTCGATCTCGTTCAGAAGAAACCAAAGGTCAAGTTCCAATTTCACGCAGCCGATTCTGGCGCGTTGAAGTGGGACTTTACAGCGTCATCCCAAGAGGCGCCTTCCAGGCGTGGTGCGGCTCAGCTCACTTCGAAATTTGCGGTTCAGCATTTCGGGTGTGGAGTTACAGGGATGCTGCTTCTTCTGGCAGATAAATGTGCCGCACCGGCACACGGCAGCTCGCCTTTAAAACAGCACAGGCTTTAGTGAAGCGTGGCGACTGCAGCTTGTCGCCTACAACAAAGGTGACCAGACCTCTTTAGCCAGTACGGTCGGTGTCTGACAGGTTTTGCCTGCAAGTGCGAACGTCGGCCGGCTGGTCAAAACTGCATGCACTGTAGATGAATTATATCGGCGAGGCCATGGACCTCCTGCACCGTTTGCAGACGAGTGGCTGAGTTTATGCACCGTCGTCAGCTACGGTTGTGCATCATGTGAGATGCATATCCGTGCTGGGTCTCAGGTCTAGTCCAGTCGGATCTTTTGAAGGACTGCTATTCACGATTGCATCACACAGCGTGACCTTGTCGTCAGCACTCCGGGACACGCTGCAGCAACAAATGGATAGAAGTGGTTGTTGATCGGTGTCCTGGCACACCAAGCCTACACCGACCGGATGGCTGAAATTGAATTTACAGGTGCCGCCCTGTGCAAAGTGAATCAAACGGCCTGACCTTGTCTTCGGGTGCCCGTTGGTCTCCACTGCAGCAGCAAATGCTGAGAAGAGGTTGCTCCGCGGCATCCTGGCGAAGATGACGAAGCCGAGCCACCCGTTGGACTAATGCGTTGCTGCCAGCCAAAGACTCTGCCCTTCTACAGGCGCCTAGTGAGAGCCTGGAACTTCGTGTGCCCGTCACCAAGCCACCATCACCAAAGCCACCACCACCACCACCACCACCCCCAACTACACCACCAACACCTGCACCAACACCAACAGCACCACCGCCAACAACAATAAAACAAAAAGACAACAACTCAACTAACACCACCAGCACCGCCAACAGCGCCAACCCCACTACCCCAACACCCGAACACACCAAGACCAACACCAACCAACCAACCACCGCCGCCACCACCACCAACAGCAACAACAAGCACCACCGCCACAACAACCACAACAACCACGTGAACTCTGAAACGAACCATTCCTCGAGCTGTGGACACAGAGTTTTGCACGTCGTGGGTCCTCTGTCACTTTGGGCAAAGTCGTTTGATGCTCTTGGGCATGATGGCTCCTTTGGTGCACAGCGGACTCTGGCTTCGGTGGTTCAGACACCGCACGTGCAAATGCAGCTTGCATTTACCGCCAAGCACTGGCAGCTGTGCTACACTTGCCTGTTTTGAACACTTAGACTTGCAGCTCATCGATGTTGTAGTGGAAGCTCGGACAAATTTAACGGCCAGGCATCGAAGACTCTGACAAGGCAAACGTGACACATCCAAACACGATGAACGCTGCGCCCACGATGCTCACGGCACCTCAGTTTAGTCCCAACACGACAAGATTGCAACTGCAAATGATGCTGGTGGTTAAACATGAAGGCCAGGCGATACAGTGTGCAAGTTCTGCCACAATAGCACTTCCTAGCTGCAAGTTCTGCACGAAAGCGGAAGTCAAGGCTGGATCTGCCATCAGCCCCGGGCTATGCAGAACTTATGCGGAACTACACGGAGGTAAAACATAGGAAATGACATACACTCGCAAAGAACGAATCCTTATGCGGAGGCCACTTCAAAGCCAACCCACCCAACCTACACCCAGCCCACCCCGGCACACCCCACCCCAGCCCACGCACCACCCCCACCCTGTTCCACTTCGCCCGCCCCCGCTGTGGGTTTGAAGTCTGGGGGTTCAGACTTGTTTGGGTGCAAGCCTTTTCACCCGAGGACTGCACCCCGCCGTTCAATGAAGGTAAGCCTGAGGCACCTAAACCCGTTGAGTCACTGAGGGACCGGAAACCTTCCAGTCCAGGGCTTACAGTAGGGAGTTCTGGAGATTCCCATGCTTGTGGTCTTGGCTTGCATCTTGTGATGCATAAGACTTTTGGGAAAGAAGTTTGCCCACTGCGCTGAGGGGGGCCCATGACCCCAACCGTCACCCAAATACCCCTCTCGATAATTTGTCCTTCCTACCGACCGTTTGCGCTGATCCCGTTTTTAGAAGTTCTCGTCCTTATATGGCAAGACAGAAGCCGTCTACAAAACCAGCCGAAACCTGTGGGTCATGCTGACTACAGACCTACGGCGAAAGTTGGTAGCGGATGGGGACCGATTCTTGTGAGACGGCTGCTGTTCTCCAAACTCGCACGAGGTTGGTTGGTTCAAACATCCGTCGGGGCAGTGGCCGATGGCACAATTTGTGGCATGCTGTCGCGTATCGCCTCGCAGAGCCCTTTCTCTTCTGAGGTCTCTGCCGAAGAAAAGTGTCTGAGAATCATTGGCACCGGTGCTCTTCGCCAGGGAGTCCATAACCTCAGCTACACAGGAACCGGCCACGTCATCAGGCAAGGGGTAAAGCAGCCAAAGAGCCACCTGTGGCAGAAAGGGTCCCAGTGAGTTGCCGACAAAATTGTTGGCGCCCTGGACGATGCCTGTCCCCAGGCTACGCACCTTCTCATTCTCCACTGAGTTGTTGCAAACGATCCTTGGTGGTCCATACCGTACTGGTCCCCAAGCGTGGGATTCTGCGCTCTGCTTGAGCATCAAGTCTCTGAATGAGGCCGGTTGTTGCAGCAAGGCCCATGCAAAGAACTATGATGCCACCCCAGGTCAGAGTCAAGGTTGTCAAAGCATATGACGACTCCATCTGAAGCAGTTGCAGAAGCAGTCCTGAGGAAGGCAGGCAAGCCGGGCCGTGACTCTTTCATGAAACCTCCTTTTCTGGCGGCTCCTGCGACGGTCATCAGCGCACCCAGGCATGAAGCGGCCATGGCTTTCTGTAGGAAGATGAGGATGCGGTGAATGTCCTGGGCCTTCTCCAGGTTGCTGCTGAGGGCAATTCCGATGGCACCACCTGTCACAGTAGCCCAAGCAGGTCTAGAAGAAATGTTGCCGACGCAAAAAACGATCAATGCTGCAGGCGATCGTTGTTCTGAGCACTGAGACTGCACACCGCGGCCCTTTCTACAGCTATGGCCTCCACCGGTAATCGCCAGGAAGCTCACAGTAGATATCTGTCTCTCCATTGACCAGAGTTGGATAAAAAGCCGAATCCAAATAAAGGCAAGACCAGCATTGATGTAGTTGGAAGAAGCGAAGGCCATGGTTGCCCTGCAAAAAAGCTTGTTCTTCCACAGAAGGGACAGCTGCTCGCCCAAAGGCACGTCCTCAGCGAGTCTTATGGTATTCAATAGATTCCCGGGACGTCCCCTCGGAGTGGTAGGTCGACCAGTGTCCATGTCCGCATTCTGCACAGTCTCGCCGTTGGCTTCCGACCTGTTTGAAATGTCGGACATGGCGCGGAGGCGCTTTTCCTTATCAGGACCGAAAGCACAAACCCAATTGTGTTGCCTATGCACAAGTGCAGTCAGGCCAATGCTTGCCGCCAGCTTTCAGACCGCACCATTTCGTCTTTCACCTCGGAGCTTCGGCCGGCACCTGAGCGACTACTTGTGCAACGATGTCTGAGGACTCTCGTGTTGCTCCAGAGATATGAGCCCTGGACTGCTAATTGCCAGATCATCGGAGGGGGTCAGCAACATGGCCACAAACAGGACGAAAAGAAATGCTGCCTGAAGCGGTCGAGAAACAAGCGATCTAAGAGAAAATCATGGATGCTTGAACTGGCAGGGCCTCGATCTGGAAAGGCAACGCATATGGAAAGTGATGTGCTGTGGTAAAGCCAGCGATCAAAATGCCAAGGCCTGCAGATCGGGAGTTGATTGCCCCTACCCACGGAGCCACTGGTCTAAGAAGCAGAACAACATCCTGCCGTGTCAAGCGGGCATTGTGGGCACTCTAGCCACTCACGGAGTAGAAGATTCCTTTCAATCCAAGTGACCGGCGCCGACGCCAGCTGCCACACAACCTGAGAGGTTGATCCACGTTGGCAGCTTTTCTTCGGTCGCAAACTTCACGACCCAAAGCGGCATCCAGACCTGGCGAATGCCGCGGCAGCTGAAGCAACACTCTCCTACAAACCCGTGCTGGGACATGATGGCACAACAACTCAGCTATCCAGAACTCTCAAGCAGAGGAGTCCGAAACGACACCGCCGGCTTTCAAGCCGGCATATGCTCAGGCCGATGTCCACAAAAAATTGTAGGAGGTTTGGGGTATATGAAGACTGTTACGAAGCTACCATTTTTTGTTTACGCCCGACGTTCCAAATCACTAAGACATTCGAGGTGTGGAGGCGACATGGCGTAACACTTCTCTGAAAGTTGCCCGATGTGTCTGAGATAAGACAGATCGGAGTCAACGAAACAGAATAAAGTCAAGGTGCCCACTGGAGTCCTTCGGAAAGCCCGATCAATAATTTTGCCGTGTACATGACGTAGCCTCGGTCGTGCGTTCAAAGCGCGATGGTTTCCGTGGCTTCCTGCTAGCCATGCCACAGTTCATGGTCAAGGAGAACACAGCGACAGCGACTGCATTCACGAAGAGACCTGTGGGCTGATCCAAGAGAAGCTCCGTGTCAGAACATCGCGGCTGAGATCCACGATGCACTTCAACATTGTCTCTGTGCTTGAAAACTGCACAGACGCCGAGCCTAGCGTGAGGAGCCACTTAGCAGGAACCATCTGCAGCACGTACCCCCAAACTCCAGCTGACACCGTCATTCCAACCCTTAGAGGGCAGACTGCTAAGTGCCTGCAATCAATCAACTTCGCCGGAGCTCATGCCATGCAATTTGTGCGAAATTGTCCCGTAGAAACGGGGTAAGCGTCGGGCTTGTCCATCGCACCCAGAAGACCCAGTCCCGTCCGACTCCACCCCCCGGCCTCACGAGTTCAACAAGATTTCTTCAAAAGGTTCGGGATGCGCGAAGTGGCGCAGCAAGTAATTTGAACACTTCTCACCTTCTGGATGGTGTCTACAGTGCCGGCAGTAGCTCCACCATTGTAAGCCATGAAGATGGGCACCCCCATGCAAAATAGCCAGAAGACTATGTCTTCTTTTCTGCAGCTCTCCATGGCTGCACCAGGGAGCCATCAGCGACTAGGAAAAAGGTTACGGAACTTTGCGAAAGAACTGCATGGTCCAAAGTCTGCTTAAATACAAATGAAAAGTAAGTTCTGCTTCATAATCACTTGCTTTACTGCTGTAGGAAGTCCTTTGCTCCGTCCCGGCGTATGCTGCTCATGCCGGCCAGCTACGTATCACTGGGACCTGTGATGTTGCATGACGTTGCGCTCAATCGGCGTTACTGGGGTCGAGAGACTCCTTTTTGATGGCAGATGGACGCAAACAGGTTGTGCACAGAGGCAAAGCGAGGCTCTGACGAAGACGACATGACAAGAAGTCTGATGCCTCGAAGGTTCGGATCAAGAGGCCGAGCGATAGCGCTATCAGCATCAAACCTGCCGCGCACAGATTCACAGTCATGGGGATTGTCCACCATTCTGAGCTGGCTCCTCGTCTATACATCTCCTGGCATCATCCGTGGCGAACCGGACGGAACATGGGACCGTCAGCCTGTCAGAGGCTTGCCCTCTCGTGCACTCTCCACCAGAATCACAGTGCACCAGTGCTGCCGGTAAACAAACACTCCGACGAAAGCCAAGTAGCTGTGCAAGGCCCCGGCATGTCTCCCGGCACTTGCTTACGCAAAAAACGGACACATATCACGACATAACTTAGCCATAGCCATTTTACAACCTCCGATTTTGACTATCACGCCTTGAACCTTGTACGAAATTTTGGAAGCCGCGGACTTCCTTCTGGAAGCACGCGGCCTCTCCCGAATTACTGAAGCTGCAGTGCTGTGAGCATCAAGCCATCGATGTGCCAGCAGTTTCACGAGCAAGCATATTACTTTAAAGAGCCAGTTTCCGATGGTTCGGACCTCACTTCCACGGACCGAATGCTACCTTCTGGCAGCAAGCACATAAAAATCCAGTTTAGGGCGGTGCGTTGCTAACCTTCGTCGTGTGATCGCACACAAGGTCTTGCATGACCTGCGCATCTCGAAACACTCGAACGTGCGAGCACGCAAATGCACACAAGAGCAGCCACTATCGAACGGACCTGCAAGCCTGCCAGGATGTGCAAGTGGCCATGGCATGCTCATACAATACACAAGTCAGCTAGCTGTGGCATGGTCCTTGAGGCTTGTGTAGGCCTGCAACATGGCACCCATCAAACTTCGACAGGCACTGGATTCGAAGTTCCTAGCTGCATGGTTTGAGCTTCAACGACAACGCTCGGACTCGCAGTGCACTCTGCAACCACGGACAGACAAAAGGCATCATGTATTGATGAACATCTCATCTTTCGGACCCGTGTCAAGGAAAACGATGGTAGATCTGGTGGCTAGCAATCTCCTGCACAGCCTTCGGCACACACTGTCACGAATGGAAGAAGCAGGAAGTTACAGCCTAAGCCTAAGCTATTTCATGTTCTCCTGGTTCTGCACCTAAAGGCAAAACACTCTGCAGGGCTTTCCCCATCTCAGTCGAGGGACCACGACCTCTAGAGAAAGCTGCATCTTCAGACCATCTGTCCGTGCTTGCGCAGCAACTCCTGCAATGCAATGGTTTTGGGGGTTATTTCGCTTGGCCGCACCATAGCGCAACAGGCTCCTCCGCATATGGTTTCCAGTACTCGGCCGTGGAAATGCGCACGCCGAAGGCAAGAGCTGTGCTGCGCAGTGTCACCTTTTTCTGCAGCACAAGTGTGACAAGTCTAGTCCGAAGCACATTACGAGATGCCGAGAACGAATGACAGGCTGATTGCGTGTTTCGCCATACTTTTTAAGTCTAAGCAGATGCACAACACCGGCGAAGGGAACAATCTGTCGTATAAAATCTCCAGCATCAAACTCACAGCTTGCAGGCTTGGCTGATGATGGCTAACAACAGGTAGGCATAGCCCTAAGCTCAAAGTCAAGTGATGTCTGGCCAACTCAAGTCCGTGATTGACACAGACCCTTAGTATAACCTTGCACCGACAAGCAACCGGGGCCGGCAGATCCTGCCTTGCAGATACAGTGGGGTGATGGAAACAGAAACCCCCAAAATTCAAAGGGCAAGCCTTAGCCCGAAAGGGATGATTGTGGTAATCCCTGCTAGGCAGCATAAAATACGACGTCTGAACACGATGGGATGGAATACGGGCAAGCTCCAGCACCCCATGGCTGCATGGTTTCAGCACCTCCACGGGCTGATAGTAGCAGTAGCAGTAGAAGTAGAAGTAGTAGTATTAATAGTAAATTAGTAGTAGTAGTAGTAGTAGTAGTAGTAGTACTAGCAGCAGTAGTAGTAGTAGTTGTAGTAGTAGTAGTAGTATTGGTAGTAGTAGTTGTAGTAGTAGTAGTAGTAGCAGTACTGGTAGTAATGGTAGCAGTGGAAGTAGTGGTCGTGGTGGTGGCAGTGGTAGTTGTGGTAGTAGTAGTAGTAGTAGTAGTAGGAGTAGGAGTAGTAGGAGTAGTAGGAGTAGTACTGGTAGTAGT